CGACTACTCCCAACATGTTTGGTATCGATTCAAACGGCCGTTGAATCTGGTGGGGGAGTATGGTAGGGTCAGTGAAATGTCACTGAAAATCGAACAGATCATCGATCCCTGTCAAGGTCAAGGATAGTCAACGCGCACCAGTCAATGATACGCCATGGACTGGCCCACGCGGCAGTGGTTGTACTTTCTCTTCTGTACTTTCGTGGTTGTACCTTAACTAATATATTCTTGTAATAACGTCCTTTGTGTTGTACAGTCTCCATAGCATCCATGATCCTTTGATGCGTCGATGGGGGCAATCCACGTAAGGTGCTGGTCGCGAGGTGTGACATCAGCGTTAGTTGGTTCGTCACCATTCTCGTCTAACTCTAGTAGGCCCCCAATCATTTCGACATAGAACATCAACGTTGATGTTCTACAATGTCCTATGATATCCCGTCTGTAGCTCCTCCGGGGATAACTGCCGGTCCCAAGTCCGGGTAAAGGAGAAGGGTTGGGCATGGGGTTAGCGACCCCATCCCGTAGAAAATCAACTCGCTAAAAAAACGCTTACCAGAAAAAATTATTCAAACCATTTAAACTCTACCCTAGGAGTAGAAGGAATAATTATGACGTCTCATGATGAAAGCCGAGTTCCTTCGTAAGTCATGAGGCCAATGCACCTTCTTACAACTAGAGCGACAATTTTTATGGGTACATGGAACGTATGGACAATGTGGGAGACCGGAAGAATCTTCCAAATTGCCACAGAAATGAAAATCTTCCTATGATATCCCTTTGAGTTAATGCCATGAGTCTAAATTTCGAATGTAGCCACTAATGGAATTCGTGAACTAAATACATTAGGAGCATTTTATGCACCAAATGTCTAGGTGGTATGCAGATTAGTATCAATTATTTCATGGATGATGGACTACCTATCGGACTTCATTACCAACAGATATCTGAATGAATTGAAACTAAAGTAAAATGATGAGGACTATACTGGTCTTATATCTTTGAAATATACTACTAGATTGTCACTTAAGGTAGTTTGACACACTAGTGCTTGTAAGTGTATATTACTCTACAAGTGAGATTATAGGAACTTTGAATGTTTAGCCATTCTTATTAGTGAAACCCCTAAGTAAAACCACTAACCTACTGTCACTTTACGTTAACACTGTCCCTAGTAACCTTAACTTACTTGAATAATATCTAACATGAACAGTGGTAAACCTGACCGACATATTTTGGTAATCATTGTTTTGTTGTTCCATGCTCTCTGTTTTCATTTTACTTTCTCTAGTTGTAAATAGTTATCCATAATTCGTTCTGACACATGAAATAACCTTAAATAACACCGTTTATAAACCAACAGGCTATCCACTTAGGAAAGAAATCAAAAGTTCACTGCTAGTGCATTGGATTGCTGTAATACGTGCCATGAATGTACTGCCCAAAACAATTACTGAACTAGCAAACTTAGAACAATCTTATAACATGATATGATAACATGATATTAAAAACCATACAATTTGAAGTAATGTTTCTCACTGATATCTCTACGTGGGCAAAGTCCATAAAAAACGTTCGCATACACATGATATTCTTCATAATGTCAGCAAACATATCTGAGACCCATTCAACACCATCTCTCAACTCTTTCTTTGTTTGTACAAAAAACACAAGATAATTACATTCCCATTTATCCATAACCACCAACAGTAATAAATGAAATCTACAGAAACTTTTATGTAGCAGCAGGATATCTTACCTTAAACAATTAATCGGAACATCAAAATAACATATACATTCTGTTTCAAATTACATTCTTCCCCTTCGAATTTCACTCTTTTATTTTTATTTTGTTTATTTGTCTCCATTTTATACATGCTGTAACATATATGATTCATATCATATATTAGAATTGCATGTTTTCTTAAAAATTCACCAACAAGCGACAGTATATTGTGAATGAAAATTCTCCTCTCACCACTTACGTGTGTATATATGATATGTAAACGCATAACCAAGGTAAGTCCATCTACACTTCTACAACATAAGAACACATTCCTACGATTTTTCAGTAGGCCTAGGACCTTTAGGCTGTCTCTTTACACCGAAGCTTCGTTTGTAACAACATAAGAACACTTTCAACATTCACTACGATTCGCTTTACTTTGGTGATTAATATAATGAGCATGCATCATCTGCTTTTGGATGATTCCTGCCTCGCTTGCTAGATGCAAATCGCTGAAGCTAGGTCCAAGTTCCCCCAACTAATGTAACTTTAATCTAGATACCGCTATCGAAGAATAACTTTCAGGTCTACTTATTGGTCAAATAGTACTGCAACGAGTTCTATGATAGGAAATGCTAAAACAGTACAGAAACCCTATTTCGCTATAAAACATAAAAAACGAAGTTCACCAAATGGATCTCTTCGAAGGATTTATTGTCAAGCCGTACAGTCATATACATATATGAAAGTATTTTACGTTAAAGTACTAGCTCCGTGTGGACACATGCACAAGAAATAACCATAATGATGCAATCGAAAGGTTATGATGTTATTTAATATAAATGATAACAATGAGCTGAATAAGTTAGTAGCGAATTATAATGTGAATGCACTAAGATCAACTTTGTGTTTCTAATGTTTGAACTTAATCCTTGTTTCACTTGTACTCGTCCCGTCGGTAGTGTGAAACATGTCCACATAGTGACAGTCTGGGGCTCTTACGCCATTTTATCTCCTGTATCCGCTTCATCATCATGGTTGATTCATCCTTACACACTTCGAATCTGATGTAGATTATACGGCAACTCTTGCAGCCCCTTAATTATAGTACTTGTCTTCTAATTTCTACGGTCTAACTAATCGATTCATATATGGTAAAGGTTGCGACGCTTTGCTATCTTCAAGGCAGCACGCATATACTGATAGTTATATTCTCTTCTCAACCGAAAGGGGCGTGTGTTGAATGACTGTTGTTTTAGTTTTATCACATGAGCTTCTTCATGTAGTTTGCCAATTAAGTCTCACATTTCTGCAGCCATTCCACTTGGAAGTGCAGCAACTACGTATGCGTATCTGGTGGCTTGAGACCTGCCAAAAACTGAACTTATATTCGGGAAAATCAGATCCGTGGGTTGCCTACACCACATTTTGAAAATCCAAACCCGGAAATGCCATTAAAAGTGTTTACTTTCAGTTTACATACTTAAAGTAAATCAGAAGAGACCTTTACAGTGCTTTGATACATTTTATCGTTTGGTGAACACTTTGTCATGTGTGCAAAAATAATTATCATGAATATAAAAATGAATATATATCTACGTTCAAGGTGCTATAATAACAGTAAAAAACAAAACAAAAATTTGTGACTCATCAAACAATTGTTGCCGGCTAGAAACACCAATACCCAAAAGCGATAAAGTCACTGAAAAAGTTGTAAAGACAACTAATAATATATAAAAATGTATAAAAAATGTGTACAAATGCTACACATTACTTATGCTGTCAGTTACAGGGGCGTTAAAGATTTTGTCGCGTAGTCCACAATTGTGATGAGTAATCTGTAATTATAAACATGACATGTACTATCCAAGGTCATGTATCTCGGGAATAATTCAGTGATGAGGATGCCGTTTGTATCCATAAACGTGTATAGCAATTATGCTATAGATCTGTTAACGTAGCAGCCGATTAAGTAGAAACGATAAGCGTATTGCAGAAGTGTATCTATGAACGACGACTAGTATGCTTTGCAAGCAGCAAACAAAACGGTGACGGAAAAGTCACGCTCAAGGTAAAATGAAAACCATTTCTCCTTTTTCTAGAAAAAATGAAGGGACAATGTCATATGGATTCGCTCTTATAGATGTGCTTTTCTTCCTCTCTAACTCTATCAATTATTCGAATGCAATTCCAATAGTCTTCTCGGTGTTCCTAATTGGGATTATGTATTCAAGATAGGGGTAATGAGTTCAGGGTTGTCGTTTTTCTCATGAACGGACATCAGATATGACATAAAGATGCTCTGTAGACACATGGACAGATGAACTTCGCAAAACGTGCATTAGGTACTATTTGATCAGTCCTTTCTTAAAATTTTAATGGATCTAGGTCACAGGTGTTTATAAGAATTGGTGTATAGGGTCGATTTACCTGTTATATGCAATCTACATTGACGGAATTCAGCATCTGATGCTTTTACCACTATCATTCTATTCGGTGTTGGCGAAGATGACTTTTCATTAACATTTAATGCGTTTTCAGAAACAAACGAAGGTACTTCCAGAACATGTTAAACGTGGCATATGGATTTATGCGGGTTCTTCCAAATGTGTTTAACGGAAAACTTGTGCACAAGCAGTGTACAAAGTAATGATAATAATATAAAAACATCACAATATCCCTAAAGACAAACAAGTAACTACTGAAGATGACACAAGTTTTTGCAGTTTGACAACACCTTACCCAGTGACACTTTTAACGAAACGTGCCGACTCTGTGAAATCACAAGTCAGAAGCGAAGAGGTTTGAAAATATATTTGATAAGCGATCAATATATCGAGAAGCGACCAGTCTAAACTGCCAAGCGATCACAGGGGAAGTGCAGCACAACGTACACACTCGTGATCTGGAGCGGATGCATGACCAAGAGCTTTCAGCTAGGTGAGTCCATCAAAACTAATATGCTCCTCACCGGATGTCGAAGACTTACAGAGCTACTATATAAGAACTTTCGTCTAAATTAGAGCGAATGGTTTCAAAGTATTTGAGCGCCGAGTTGATGTGAGACATTGAATAGGAATAATATATTTGTAAAGTCTCAGCGAATGAATATGAAGTAAATCCAACGTTTCGCCTGACAATCTGGCCCAAGCTTTTTCGAGGAATTATACCATTGGGTTTACTTCAAATTCATTCTCTGAGATTTGACAAATATATTATTCCTATTTAATGTCTTACAGAGCTAATAATTTTGAGTATTTACTTACCGCCACACTACCATCAATTGTGGACTCTCTAACATTACAAAAATATTAGATGATACCTTTTCATTCTCGAGAAGAACATTGAGCTATCTATTCCTTCAGAGATTGTACTTCTAGAACCTCAAATGAGTATGATCCGCTTATTAGGGCTACAATTTTCACGATTGAAATTGTATTGTTGCGGTACTTCCCGTTAATAAGGCGGACTGTTTGGAGATTACGATTGGATGTATTCTTCTTAAGGGCTTGGGTTGTTGCAGGTATTGGGTTTGTTTTTGGCTGTTACCTGGTCCCTTATCAAATTGACAATCCTCCCTGTGTTTTTCGAATGGATGAACGTAAGTCTGATGGTCAATGTGAGTCTAAGAGATCTCGAGTTCATTATACCCGGGTAAGTTTATTCGACAAAATAATGTTACATGCTATTAGGAAGAGATCCTGGCAATTAAAGAAAATGCGATCTCTTCGGTTGAACTTTCGGACGAATTCTCTCGGATAAGTGCTTCTGTTATGCGTCTAACTCGCGGAAGGACTAGACCCAATTCCTTTTCTAAAACTCAGGGAGGCGGTACGTTGAGTCAATTCATTAATAAACCGTTTGTGCAGAGAAGACACGGGATGCTTCCAGCATAGTCCTCGGTCCTCAAAAACGTACATGGAACACTGGTTGTCATGTCTCACAACAACCTCAAGGTCGTGAATCGTCGGATACAAACAATTCTACTCGGCCTAAATTTAACTCAGAAAACCGGTCTTATGACAAGCAGCATTGTAAAGGGACTAGTGACTACAAAAGAGAGTACCGTTCTAATGATATTCGTGGTCCTGGTCGAGGTCGTGATCGCGGGTTTGGAAGACATGCTGAATGTGCTCCGTTCATTAAAAACCACAGTAGAGAAGACCGCTACAATCATGATCGTCGAATTTCTTCTTCGCACAGCGATGATGAACCTGAGTGGTTTGCTGAAGGACCTACCACGGTTAATGAAACGATTGAACTGGGAGGAATTTTAGAGGAGACGGTGGAATGTGCCTCGCCCAGTAAGTGCTTAGGAGTGGGAAATGATCTTTCGCAAGTTGATGATAGTATATTGCCGAATTCAAGCATTAGTACTAAAAACGTCTTTAATGACAAGGCTTCGGAAGCTGAAGGTCATGCTTTCCTTGAACAGTCAAGCGAATCCACATCTAGTGTCATAAATCACGTGATGTCCGATAGTCAAGGAAGCCGTTTCAAACACCTGTTTCAAAAGAACGAGATACCGGATGAAAATAAGCTCCCAAACAATGCTTACCCAAATAAACCCGCCCCTTTAGATAATATCAACGAACAGTTACTTAGGTTGCTGAAAGGTTCGTGCGGAAATCCTGCCAGTCATGTCAGTCCTGAAAAGAACAATGGTATGGTATCTACAAATCCTTATTCTTTTGCAGCTCTCCAAGTTGAAAATAAGCTTCGCTCAATCCTACTTGGACACGGCCCTGTATATCCCTTGAATGTTGGGCCTGTCAAAGGTTAGTTGATGAGTCCACCCTGATAATTCTATAACTTGATTATTTAGAATCAAAACCAGCAGTACTAACTGTTGAAGAAATTGAAGCTCAGCTTAAAGTACCTCAGGGAGATTCAACTAATTTAAACGAATCAATCGATCCGATTGATTCTCTTACTCATTCGGATCCTTTCATAGATGATCAAGCCATTAAATCTCGTGGCATACCTATTGGCTCATCAAAAAACTGTAGCTTGTTTTCTCAGTCGGGAACGACTTCCAACCTGGTGCCTATTTTGCAATCACTGATGATCGGAAAACAACAAAAATCAGTCTACTCTCAGTCTACAAATCCGCAAAATTCACACTCGCCTTTTGGACTGGTCTCAAATTTTATGGTATGTAGTCTTTTCTGTAGACATTAACTACCGAATTATTCTCACCTGTTTACCATATTGTTATCGACTCAATACAATGGTTTGTGTTTGTTTCTTTATAACTTAGTACTACCGTTGAAGTAACTACTATTAATCATTTTGGTCTAATGAGGTGTGGCAACTTCGACCGATGCATACATTTGCCTGGTCCTACGTTGTAGCTGACTGATTGACTGAACTTGGTATAACAATTTCATTTGCTCATCTAACTTTTTTTTCTTTTAGGGCGCTGCCACGTCTGCGGGTTCATGTATTAGTCGATTGCAAAACCCAGATGCCCCGCTTGGTGTTGATCTACCTTCGCATGGTATAGTGATTTCCTTAAAATTACTTTTCTAGGTTCCCTTCGTCAACTCTGGAATGGTACGAGAGACGTTTCTGCTCACCCAAGCCCACAACTGCAGCCCTTAGGTAATAACAGCAGTTTTACTGAATCTATATTTAGGTTTGTATCCTGATGTATCTAGATTTCAAACTATCAAGACTCCAGACTCAGGATTACTTGGAAGACCTATAGTTAAGGCTCAACTAAATGTTCTCTCTAGTTATAACTCAAACGAACAGGCACCAAACTCTACTTTCTTTACTAACCAAGGCCACGGGTCTGTCAATTCATCACTTTACCAAGGTAGGTAATGCTCTTTTTGTGTATGTAGTTGTGTCCAAAGTTACTTATCGTCTTACATGTTATACAATCTTAATGACTACATTGTGAAGTGCGATTTCTTTGACTTGATTTTGTTACATTGCTTCTTCCAGAATCATGTAAGCTGATTACTTATACATTTTGAATCCATACAACTCAACTGATTCCTTTTTGTCGGAAGTTTTAGTGATTTGAACTGACATTGATTACCTTGCGTTTTGTCCATCACATTTAGTTTTACCTAATGAAAACTTGTCACTCGAAGCATTAAACTAAGATCGATGCCTTAGTAATTCTTATCATAATGCCTATTCATAATCAAAGCGATACTCCTATAACTAAGCCGTTTTTCATAAATATTCTATTTTGTTCCCTTGTCATTTGCTTTCTGTTCTTAGAAGCGAGGTTATCAATTAACAGTCATTTCCAAAGTGTGTAGCTTCGTCATCAGTATTCTTTTGGAGATAGCCACTTCCAACTTTCCAAAATTGGTTTACTAAAAAGCTCAGTCCAATATACAATTGAGTCCTGTTATGTAAAGATTGATAAAGCGCAGGATCTCTTAACCGCCTTAGACAACAATACAAGTCTGTTTGAAATTCGTTTCTTTCCCTCTAAATGCGAAATGTAGAGTACATTTGTAAGTTATTAGTATTTAGTCACAGTTGTCTTCGAAGCATTGGTTACGTATGTTACGACCATCGAGTGATCAAAGCTGAGTTTTAGACGTAGAGTACTAAGCGAAGATAACCAACCAGTTAATATGGGGTTAATTTGGTCGGTCGCAAACAAGTCAGAATCTAACATTTAGACTCATCGTTACAAGTCACAGCATAAAGGTAAAATGATCAAAATAAGTACTAAAGTAGTATCAGTGGCGAAGAAAATGTAGGATAACGAGTGTGACTTAAGACGTAGGCAAACTCGTGTGGTGAAAAATCGTTAGGCACTTTCAAAACTCAATATCTGGGAGAAAAGAATAAATAAATCCGTCCCATTTCATCAGATTCTAAGCCTTGTCACCCAACGTCTACAGCCGCTGATCACAATAATCTTGCTAATCCCTTACTTGGTATTCTACACCCGCGGGTATGGTCTGGCCCAACGGCCTATAGTGTTGACTGGTACCGTGTTGTAATTTGGGCGCCATATTGTACTCCTACATTACCTAGCCTAGTGTTGTATAAGTATAGGTAATGTATGTCGCAGTTAACTCAGGCGATGAATATTCACCATTTTATCATCTTGCTTCGTATCTTGCGTCTAACTTCAATACTGTTTACTCGGCGGTTCCAACATTCTCTAGCAATGCTTCGTCGTTGCTTATTATCAAGTAGTAGCAACCGAATATTTATTTCTAAGGTCAGGTTTCACAGCCATAAAGTTAAAACGAAACCAGTTGTTGTTCAGCTTACTCGTTCGTGTTTTGCGAACGGACATCTTGCCTACACCATAGGTGATTCATGCTGACAAAAGTCAGGCGAGCCTTCCGAATCCATGTCGATATCCCGTGAAACACCAACTAAACAGGACTGATGAAACTTCTAGGACAGGTGGTTAACACGCTAAACTACTTCACTCCAATGAAAATGACAATAGCTGTCAATTCCAATGAAAAGCACTTCAAGTCTATTATTTTAATAACTGTTCTTCACATATTTGGGCTTAACCAACATTGTTAAAGTAGTGAGCTTTCGTCTGTGTTCCAGAATTCGGAATTCAATATCTGGTTTAAACATCAACGTCCAAACCTGAAACCTGTTGGATTTCCTGTTTACGAACCCTAGTTTGGCGTCGGATAATTATTGAAGCAAATATCCTAGGCACTATGTTAGTCAAACTAATTCATCTTCAGCTATCACAAGAGAATCCTCATCCTTTCTTATACTTTCGGGCCAGGCGGATGGGATTATGTTCATTCCCCAGACTAGGTAATGTTTCAGTTTGTCGAATTCGTTAAGCTAGACCCCCCATCCTAAAATAGTCTAACCCATCATAGCCCACTAAAATCCCTTGCTTTCGATTAACTGTAATCTTTATTAAGAGTTGGGAGGAACCTATCTAAATTTACCATTCATTAATTAGACCCCCAATATAATATAGTTGTATAATTATCATAACTAAGACCCAAGTTGTAATTTACAATTGCTTCAGCCAGTTGATGTGATTTTGGAGAGACTTTATCTGTTATTGTAGTCCTAAACAATTCTAGATTTCAATGTTGTGATCGGAAATTTGTGGTGTTATTTCTAACTAAAATTGTCTGTGTAAAATTTATCGATAGGTATACTAGTTTTCCATATTTAACACAGCTGCTACCAACGTCCCTGTAAAGTCTGTAGTACGATTTCAACCTTGAGCAGAAAACTGAGTAATCACTGTGAAGATATGTCTATACGCTGATCTGATCGTTGACATATTGTATACAATAAATCTAGATGAGTTATGCTGCGTTAAAGCAAAATTAACTTTTGGTTTACTGCAGTTAATTTTTGTTTGCTTACTATCTTAATTTGAGTTCATGTTCTAACTTTTTGTGATCATTATCTTCAGACTCTAGCCATCTGCTTGATAGGAATATGAAGCAGTTCTACCTTGGCAATACTGAGTCTTCAAATCTAAATAATTCTCATGGATTTTTATCTTGTTCAAAGCAAAGCTATGGGAATTTATTGCCGTTCCAAAGCTCAAGCCCATCACTAGCGTCAACTATTACTTGGAATAAGAATTCATCTGCTCAACACCAAACTAAAGTTAATGAATCTCAAGCTAGTAATGGAAGTTTGACCTTGCTATCACAGCTAGTTGAGTGGGAAAAATTAAAACAACCACCTAGATCTAATCCATCCTTTAATCGAACGAAGGCAAAAACGCTAGAAGAAATAGAACAAGCAGAGTCTTCAAGAAATAATATATTATTTTGAATTTGCAAAGTTCGTGTACCTAGATTAGAGACTCCCGGAAATTTTGTCGGGTTAATTTCATTCCTTACCAGATCTTGTAAATTTATTTTCTATATGAGATCTGCGCAGTTTCCGCATGTGCGGAAACAGTGTACATAGTTTAATTTTCTTCACAAGATTGCGATATACTTGTTTTTGGGTGACTACTTAATTCTGTCTATACTTTTCTGTGAATATTTCCCTTTATACTGGAAACCCAGTAACAGATTCCCTTTGGTTTCCTGAAATTGCACTTCAGAGGTGCTTAGTTTATTCTCATTTTGCCTTATTTTGTTGAATTACCACAGTTTATGCATTTCTAACAGTTTCGTGTTTTGTCGTTACTGAAGTTCGAAAATAAAGAAAATATATCTTGGATACATGTATGTCCTCAAAAACATTTGTCTCAATAGATAAAAGTTAAGTCAGGAACTTTCTTCGTAGTTGAGATGTCTATTAAGCTTAGTCATCAATGTGATTGTGCGATGTGAACTGAAGCTCTTGTTTATTACATGAATAGATCTAATTGAACCTATCAAAATACTGGAAATGAGCAAACTGGTAAGTGAGATCTATTGATAAATGTTTGGAGCGCACTACATGTTTTGTAAATAGCACTCAAGTGTAAGGTATTTCGTGTTCCGATAAATTAAATATTGGTGTCAGTGTCCGAAATATGAGCTAGCTATAAGTCGCAAGATTCACTAAACGGGATTTGTTACATACATAAACCAATCAGTATTACACAGATTAAATCTCTGAAAGTTCATATATTGATTTAATTAGGTTTGATAAATAATAGTTCTTTAAGTATGTAGTAGGGACCGTAGTACATGTCTCAAGTGCATCTCCTTACGATGCTCCACTGCCTTGTGGATTAGACCTTTGGGTCAAAGGCTCCGTATGTGGCCCCCTAAGAAAGCCACCTGCTTCGGTTTAAGCACCCGCGCAGTATCACAGCCCTCACACAAATCAAGTGAGATTTGTGTGGCACATGTATCTGGTGCCCCTTTGTACCAATACTTATGTGTTTAAATAAATAAAAAACATGTCTCATGAAATGGAATATCTTGGCACTCGCTAGGCTATAGTCGTGTACGTAGGTATCTTTACAACAATTGAGCATTGTCTTTTAAGTGTGGTCTTTGGAATAAAAAGGACAAATATTGTGGAAGTGGATTCACTTAATTCAATATGCTAGTACGGAAACATTTTCATCGGATAATCCGTGTGTCTAGTGGTAATAATACCGTGAAACATCTTAGATCATGACTAAACTAAGTAAGAAATGCATCAATTAAATAAAATATGATGACAAGGTAAACAATTTCGATAAAATAATGGAAGCATTCGTTGAAAAATGTTACATAAGTAAGACGATGTTCGGTAATCTACAAGCCACCTTTGTATAAAATAATATGGTCCCAAACTGTGTTTGTGTAAAAGAGGGGAGGGCAGATGTTATTATACAGATATCTACTTAATAAAGTAGTTTGACTGCAAATAAGTTCATGTTCACTTGTGATATTTAATTCCAGTATTATTGTTTTACTCAGGTACGTCCATATATAAATTTTATACTCATTATCATAGGACTGTGAATGAATTTGATAATCGCCAACCACGGCATCCAATTAATATAACATATACAGCAGATCAAATTATATACTCCTAGTTTAAATTAATCCTATCTATTCTCTTTGAAAATATTAAAACTATTCTGTAAACTTCATATAAACATTCTCTTAAGGTTAACCGAATACATAATCTTTAGGGTGAGCTCGTGAAGCACAGAGTACGTTATTGTAAAATAATAAGAGGAGGTATTGTCGATGTTTCCCCTAATTCTTAGATAAACAGTAGAACATTTTTGGCTTCAAAAATTTAGTGTGTGTTCAGGAACTGGCTATACATCTGACCATTCGTCTTGTTCTCAGTTTACTGTGTTGGTTATACTTTACAGAAGAAACCTAACTTTCGTAAGTTTACTAATCCCTTCATTTTCAAAAGACAGTATCATTTGTTTGAAACAAATAACATTGTCTCTCAAACAATCACATTACAACTCCTTTCAAAAATTATGTTAGTTCAATAGTGAATCCTCATGAGGTTTAAGTATATTATATTTATTTAAATTGACGGTTAACCTTGATTGATTCAGAGCTAGAGTAGTAAATCTTGATGTACTACCCCAAATAGGCATTGGTAAAACTTTTAATTGCCGATATGTTACTTTAAACAGTCATTCCGTTTTAAAAAGTAGCTGGAACAGATCACAATACTGAATTAAATTCAGTCTTTTTAGTTTGATATAGGAGTAATGTAGAGGGTGTATTTAAATTTGTTAAGCTATTAATCATACAAAAATTCGGATCCTCTTGGGTATCGAAAAAAAACATCTTATACTTACATTAAACTCACTCTGCTATTGTTGATTTCAACAACAAGTATGATATGATTGACGATTTTTTTAATATTATCCTTGTTGCTTGTTTGTCTCCTTTTGTTTAGTTTGACCTTTTTATAAAAATATTTTAATATATGATCAGAATATAATTCAATACATCATGAGCTAATGTTGTAGAGTGATTCTGATCAACTTTATCTGCTCGGTACAATAATCAAAATTCATATCAAATCAATGCCTTGTACGGCCGAGAGTAGGGAGAGTCCGCTCTCCCTTTCGAAATGCTCTCACATCGCCACACGTATACAGCCTCTGCAAAGAAAGTCCTACTCACGGCCTTCTAGTTGCACCGATGTTGTTTACGAAATTGAGAGGACGAAAAGCGAATGTGCGGTGCATTAACTGGGTTGGTGGACACAGTGAGTCCACATAGGGGAGTTGGAAAACCCTGATTCCAAACCAATGGTGCACATGGGCTCCAGTATCCTGATGGAACAAATGGCTTATGAACCGATCGTTGGTCACTGAATACCATGGTATTGTATCTCCTCACTATGTATCACTGCCTTGTGGATCAGACCTTTAGGTCAAAGGCTCTGGATGTGGCCCCCCCCCCTGTTTCAGTTAGGGCATCTGGGCAGTATCACAGCCCTTACACAAATCGAATGAAATTTGGTGCTTCCTTGTACTAATGTTTGTGTTTAAATAAATAAATAAAATAATGTTATGTAGTACTCATTAAATAAGATTCCCTATACAAATTTATACAAACAGGAAAAGTGTAATATGCATTGTTTAGTATCATGTCATTAATTAAAAAGGTTTTTGATTGAAAAACGCTTTAAATAAAGAGGGCAAAATACACATTATTAAACAGATCTTCTTAAGATATAATGGAATAATCCAGGTAACGCGTTGCATCATATATTGTACCTTGAGAATGAACAGAGCTAAATACGGTAATGGTCGAAAGGGACAATATACTTAACTTTATGCAGCATGATATACCGCTCAAACTTTAATCAGACAGAAGCGATATTCGGTAGTTCACAATTCAATTATGTAAAATATCATGTAGAATGAGGTTAAACATGTAGTGTTTGTCGAAATGAAGCAATCTCCTAAAGTTCTTTTTTGTTGATAATTAAACTTTTGATGTTAAAGTATGACTTTAAATATCATTTTAAAATTTTCTTGTTAGTGGATTGAATATACCGACGTCACTTAATAATATTTACAACTTGAATACGTTTCCAATCACCTAAAAGGAATATCTGTGATTAAGACTATGAGTAGCGAAAGTATATAATAGGGGAAATATTTAGTCATAGTTACAACGCAGCTTGGTCATGATTTTCAACCATGAAGCAGAAATTTCTAATCCATTGACTTCATACCTCTAAAAAATGCACTATGATATTCTTTCAGTTAATGTAGTGGAAACATTGCATTTTTTGATTAATCGGATTTGTAATCTCCCTACAATACTGCTTATTTGAAGACCGGTTTCCATATTCACATTTATATTAAATTTTCTCAACGCATAAATGGAATTTACACCTCATAGATAAATAACTGTATTGTTCACAACTACGCATAAAAATAAATGATCAAGACTGGACATCAAAAGTGATCACATATGTATTAACTCAATGGGTACTATAGTTATAGTAGTAGAATTGTATAAAAACAAGCAGATAATCAAGCAAGTATACAAACACACCAACTGATAGCTGAGAAGTAACCAATTTTGTGTGACTCAAACCTTGATAATGATCGAATTTTAGTAACTCAGTTACAGTGTGGATATCAGTTCAAGTGTCTCGAAATCGTGTACACGAATTGTAGGTGTTAGCTGGTTGAAAGCAAATTTTGTGCCCAATATCTGACTCCTTAACGAACGATAAATGAGCCGTGAGTTTAAATTCATCACCTGATTTCGTATATTCTATTTGGGCCAACTGCGTTTAGGCAACAGTGGTCATTACAAAGCCAAATATGAATTAAGTTGGAAGAATTTATTTCAGACATTCTTATATGCTGACAGACGTTGAAAGATACGAAATGAAAAAAGCGAACGTGCCAGCTTATTGAGTAATAAGTTACCCAATATTTGTAAATCTGCATGAAATACAAGTATACGGACACATATCCACTAGCATAAATACATTTGTAAAGCATGATTAAGGTTGCATGTGAGTAGTTGACATAGCCAAACGTATAAGTGATAGGACAAATAAAAGTATTAGAATAATTTATCTGACAAAAGGTAAGAACAAGTCACGTAGGCCTGTTATAACAGTGATTCACTAAAAGTCACTAGAATTCTCTGTCACTTGCCAAGAAGACGTATTTGAAACTTTGATTTATAGTGTTTAGTCTGTGTAAATATCTCAACTCTATAGAAGATTAGTCGAGGTCCAATTAGCACAATGTCACTGAAAAAAAGTGCCGAGGCTTCAAATCCGACATGGAGTGTTAGCATCCACAAGAGTCCCGATATCCCTTGCTAATGCCTCCCAACTTCTGAAAACCCCGATTCCATAGAGTCCTTCCCGCCGTATATTTATTTATTTAAGCACATAAATATTGGTACAAGGGGGCATCAGATACACATGCGCCGCACAAATCTCATTTGATTTGTGTGAGGGCTGTAATAATGCCCAAACTGAAACGGGTGGTTTTCTTAGGGGGCCGCACCCAGAGCTTTTGACCTAAAGATTCGATCTACAAGGCAGTGAAACATAGTGAGAGGATACAGTACCATTGTATTCAGTGACCAACGATCGGTTCATAAGCCATTTGTTCCATCAGGATACTGGAGCCCATGTGCACCATTGGTTTGGAATCAGGGTTTTCCAACTCCCCTATGTGGACTCACTGTGTCCACCAACCCAGTTAATGCACCGCACATTCGCTTTTCGTCCTCTCAATTTCGTAAACAACATCGGTGCAACTAGAAGGCCGTGAGTAGGACTTTCTTTGCAGAGGCTGTATACGTGTGGCGATGTGAGAGCATTTCGAAAGGGAGAGCGGACTCTCCC